ATTGCTGCATACTAACAGCACCTTTCAAGGCAGGTGAAATTTCTAACCTAGAAAATGTACAGAGAACCTTCATGGCATGCATAACTGCGATAAAATGCCTCAATTACTGGGAACACTTGAAGTTTCCTCAACCTGTACACCCTAGAATGAAGGTGGGAGAGAGACATGATTATATACACTTGGAAAATCCTGGAGGGATTATTACCAAACTTGCACACGAAAATCACTCCCTATGAAAGCAAAAGACTCGGCAGACGATGCAACATCCCCCCAATGAAAAGCAGGGGTGCCACTAGCACAATAAGAGACAACACAGTAAGTGTCAGGGGCCCAAGACTGTTCAACTGCCTCCCAGCATACATAAGGGGGATTACCAATAGACCCCTGGCTGTCTTCAAGCAGGTACTGGACAGGCACCTAAAGTCAGTACTTGACCAGCCGGGCTGTGGTTCGTACATTGGACTGCGTGTGGCTAGCAGTAACAGCCTGGTTGATCAGGCTCTGGTCCACCATGAGGCCTGGTCGCAGACAGGGCCATGGGGACATTGACCCCTGGAACACACTCCAGGTATACAGTTAATACAGACCAAGCTGACATCACTGACATACTATATAGAAAGTCCCTAGTTATGTAGAGCATTTCAGGCAATGGGTTAATCTTGTCCCCTAGAATGCAACCCCAAGGACTCCAATGGAAATAAGTCACTTTTTTTTTGGGGGGGGAGGGTTATTCTAGGTAATTTACATGCATTACTATGTATGATAATTGGAACTTGAATGGTAAGATAAGATAAAACTTTGTTCAGATTTTTACTCAGTGCATCATAAGGGACTCTTATTTCCATTGAGTTTTTTAATCGTGTCCCTTAGGATGTGACCCACAACAGTTGACTAACATCTAGGTACCTATTTACTGTTGGGTGAACAGAGGCAGCAAGTGTAAGGAAACATGCCCAACATTTCACCCATGCTGTAGATTGATCCTGGACCCTTGGTGTGTGAGCCCACCAAGCAGTGAGCACCCAGACTTTCATGTTACTACTGCTTTGATCTGACTAAATGTAAATTTTGTCACTTTAACTGGTTTAACCCTGTTTTATTATTTACTTGAATGTGAAGAAACGAGGAATTTAAAGATAACTCTTAAGTATTTTATGTATTATAATGTACCAGTACAGTACACTAAAATTTTTTAGCCAAATATCCAATTTTGCCAACTATGAATGACTCTGCCTTTGTAACCTGTTTAACCAACAATACAGTATACATATGTACTTCATTGTAATGTTATTTCCTTGCTAAGTTAATGTTAACTTTAGGGGCTAGAGTTTTTATTATATAAATTGTCCAGCATTAAATAGATTATGCATTAGAGATCATTATACTTTGTGCCTATGGGGCTGTATAGCCCTTGTGGCTTAGTGCTTCTTTTTGATTATAATAATAATGTGCCTATGGGGAGAAAGCATTTTTCTTAGTACAGTAACCCAAAAATAAATATATTCTAACCAAACCTAGACCATTATTATACTAATCAAATCTGAATGTAAGTTATAGTGGACCCCCGGTTAACGATATTTTTTCACTCCAGAAGTATGTTCAGGTGCCAGTGCTGACCGAATTTGTTCCCATAAGAAATATTGTGAAGTTTACCTGGAGTTTACCTGGAGAGAGTTTCGGGGGTCAACGCCCCCGCGGCCCGGTCTGTGACCAGGCCTCCTGGTGGATCAGCGCCTGATCAACCAGGCTGTTGCTGCTGGCTGCACGCAAACCAACGTACGAGCCACAGCCCGGCTGATCAGGAACTGACTTTAGTTGCTTGTCCAGTGCCAGCTTGAAGACTGCCAGGGGTCTGTTGGTAATCCCCCTTATGTGTGCTGGGAGGCAGTTGAACAGTCTCGGGCCCCTGACACTTATTGTATGGTCTCTTAACGTGCTAGTGACACCCCTGCTTTTCATTGGGGGGATGGTGCATCGTCTGCCAAGTCTTTTGCTTTCGTAGTGAGTGATTTTCGTGTGCAAGTTTGGTACTAGTCCCTCTAGGATTTTCCAGGTGTATATAATCATGTATCTCTCCCTCCTGCGTTCCAGGGAATACAGGTTTAGAAACCTCAAGCGCTCCCAGTAATTGAGGTGTTTTATCTCCGTTATGCGCGCCGTGAAAGTTCTCTGTACATTTTCTAGGTCGGCAATTTCACCTGCCTTGAAAGGTGCTGTTAGAGTGCAGCAATATTCCAGCCTAGATAGAACAAGTGACCTGAAGAGTGTCATCATGGGCTTGGCCTCCCTAGTTTTGAAGGTTCTCATTATCCATCCTGTCATTTTTCTAGCAGATGCGATTGATACAATGTTATGGTCCTTGAAGGTGAGATCCTCCGACATAATCACTCCTAGGTCTTTGACGTTGGTGTTTCGCTCTATTTTGTGGCCAGAATTTGTTTTGTACTCTGATGAAGATTTAATTTCCTCATGTTTACCATATCTGAGTAATTGAAATTTCTCATCGTTGAACTTCATATTGTTTTCTGCAGCCCACTGAAAGATTTGGTTGATGTCCGCCTGGAGCCTTTCAGTGTCTGCAATGGAAGACACTGTCATGCAGATTCGGGTGTCATCTGCAAAGGAAGACACGGTGCTGTGGCTGACATCCTTGTCTATGTCGGATATGAGGATGAGGAACAAGATGGGAGCTAGTACTGTGCCTTGTGGACAGAGCTTTTCACCGTAGCTGCCTCGGACTTTACTCTGTTGACGACTACTCTCTGTGTTCTGTTAGTGAGGAAATTATAGATCCATCGACCGACTTTTCCTGTTATTCCTTTAGCGCGCATTTTGTGCGCTATTACGCCATGGTCACACTTGTCGAAGGCTTTTGCAAAGTCTGTATATATTACATCTGCATTCTTTTTGTCTCTAGTGCATTTAGGACCTTGTCGTAGTGATCCAGTAGTTGAGACAGACAGGAGCGACCTGTTCTAAACCCATGTTGCCCTGGGTTGTGTAACTGATGGGTTTCTAGATGGGTGGTGATCTTGGCTTCTTAGGACCCTTTCAAAGATTTTTATGATATGGGATGTTAGTGCTATTGGTCTGTAGTTCTTTGCTGTTGCTTTACTGCCCCCTTTGTGGAGTGGGGCTATGTCTGTTGTTTTTAGTAACTGAGGACGACCCCCGTGTCCATGCTCCCTCTCCATAGGATGGAAAAGGCTCGTGATAGGGGCTTCTTGCAGTTCTTGATGAACACAGAGTTCCATGAGTCTGGCCCTGGGGCAGAGTGCATGGGCATGTCATTTATCGCCTGTTCGAAGTCATTTGGCGTCAGGATAACATCGGATAGGCTTGTGTTAGTCAAATTTTGTGGCTCTCTCATAAAAAATTCATTTTGGTCTTCGACTCTCAGTCTGGTTAGCGGCTTGCTAAAAACTGAGTCATATTGGGACTTGAGTAGCTCACTCATTTCCTTGCTGTCATCTGTGTAGGACCCATCTTGTTTAAGTAGGGGCCCAATACTGGACGTTGTTCTCGATTTTGATTTGGCATAGGAGAAGAAATACTTTGGGTTTCTTTCGATTTCATTTATGGCTTTTAGTTCTTCCCCGCGATTCCTGACTCCTAAAGGATTCTTTTAGCTTAAGTTCGATGCTTGCTATTTCTCTGACCAGTGTCTCCCTGCGCATTTCAGATATATTGACCTCTTTTAGCCGCTCTGTTATTCTTTTCCGTCGCCTGTAAAGGGAGCGCCTGTCTCTTTCTATTTTACATCTACTCCTCCTTTTTCTTAGAGGAATAAGCCTTGTGCATACATCGAGTGCCACCGAGTTAATCTGTTCTAGGCATAAGTTTGGGTCTGTGTTGCTTAGTATATCTTCCCAGCTTATATCGGTTAGGACTTGGTTTACTTGGTCCCACTTTATGTTTTTGTTATTGAAGTTGAATTTGGTGAATGCTCCCTCGTGACTAGTCTCATTTTGTCGGTCTGGGGCTCCATGCATACATGTCTGAACCTCAATTATGTTGTGATCTGAGTATATTGTTTTTGATATGGTGACATTTCTTATCAGATCATCATTGTTAGTGAAGATGAGGTCTAGTGTATTCTCCAGTCTTGTAGGCTCTATTATTTGCTGGTTTAAATTGAATTTTGTGCAGAGATTTAAAAGCTCGTGTGAGTGTGAGTTTTCATCAGAGCTGCCTCCTGGTGTTATTACTGCAACAATATTATTTGCTATATTCCTCCATTTTAGGTGCCTTAAGTTGAAATCCCCCAGGAGCAAGATGTTGGGTGCAGGAGCTGGAAGATTTTCCAGACAGTGGTCAATTTTTAACAGCTGTTCCTGGAATTGCTGGGATGTTGCATCCGGAGGCTTGTAGACTACCACAATGACTAGGTTTTGGTTCTCGACCTTTACTGCTAAAACTTCCACTACGTCATTTGAGGCATTAAGCAGTTCTGTGCAAACAAGTGACTCTGCAATGTACAGGCCAACCCCCCCCTTTTGCCTGTTCACTCTGTCACATCTGTATAGGTTGTAACCTGGGATCCATACTTCGTTGTCCAAGTGATCCTTTATGTGGGTCTCAGTGAAAGCCGCGAACATTGCCTTTGCCTCTGCAAGCAGTCCACGGATGAAAGGTATTTTGTTGTTTGTAGCTGGCTTTAGACCCTGTATATTTGCAAAGAAGAATGTTATCGGACTGGTGGTATTGTTGGTACTGGGGGGGGGGTAGATTAGTCCATTTCAGACCCCCAAACATACACGTATAAACGCACTTACATAAATACACTTACATAATTGGTCGCATTCGGAGGTAATCGTTATGCGGGGGTCCACTGTATTTTTATTTGCTTACCAATGGATGGGTCTTCCCAGTATGCACATAATATAATTGTCTCCATTGTACAGTCCACTTGATATTTGAGAATTTACTTAATAGGGCAGATAGAGGAGAGATTGTTTGGCTGTGATTGTAACTCGTATACATACTTTCGTTACTTTCAGGACTGAAATTCAGGATCTTCTTAATGCCCTATATGAAAAGTGTGATGACCATGGAAAATCAGAGAAATTAGCCCTGCAAGCAAAAACAATGGGATCAAAGGTTTGGTTTCTAGTTCAATTACAGTTTCACTTTTGAAACACACATTATGCTAATTTATATTTTTGTAAATACTGAAAGTAAATTAATAAGATACTGTATTATGTATGCAGTGTATACTGATTTTTGTGACTAATTTTAGTTATTAAGGGCTTAAATTGCTGTATAGCCCTTGTGGCTTAGCGCTTCTTTTTGATTATAATAATAATAAAAGGGCTTAAATTCAAAAATGTTTAAAGGAAGATAAAATTAATTCACAAATTTGTAAAATAGCACTGTATATAGCTAGAGGTAAATGACCATTTTTGGAAAGGTTAATTAGATAAATTTAGTGGTCTTTGCAGTGTGTTCATGACCAAAAGGTCTCAGCTTTGAATACTGGTTAGGGGGAGTTATACAGTACTCTATAGGCAAGCTGCTTTAAAACATGCTACCTCTGTTTACCTATTAATAATTGATGGTTGTCTTAGATTAGCAGAGTATTCTGTAATATATATCTGCATTGTGTTAGCTTACATTGATTTACAGAGTTCATAAATGGACTCTCATAATAAGCAACTATTATACAGATTATTTGGCTAATTAATGTGGTAATGCAGGGTGACACATCCTTAACCCCTTTGAGGGTCGACAGGCCCTCTCAGAAACTCGTTCTCAGGGTCGGCCAAATTTAAAAAAAAAAAATTATTTTTTCTTATGAAAAGATAGAGAATCTTTTCCCGATCATAATGACACCAAAATTATGAGATTTGATGGAAAGCTTACGGAATTATGCTCTTGCGAAGTTAGCGGTCTCGGCGATGTTTACGCATAGGCGATTTTGCCCAATTTGAGCCCCATTTTCGGCCAATTCCTCTGTACTAGTCGACAAACAACATTAATATTTCGCTAGAACTACATTTTTTCTATTGAATGAGTGCAAGAAACCACCCATTTACCATTTTCAACTATCCAATACAGTGGTCAGAATTTAGCAATTTTGCCAATTTCACACAAATTTCAAAAAATGCCAATTTCCGAATAGTGTCCAGAACAAACAAGAAATACATTCCTGGCACTAAAATGACATTTCTTCTGCTCATTAGTCACGTCTCAAGGCCCCTCTTACATTCTTTTGCTTTCCACTTTGAATTTTTATTCTCACGAAAAATAGAAGATTTACTGTTATGCAGACTACTGCATTAGTGTAAAAAATGGATATAAATCATATTGGCGCAATTGCAAAAGAATGTTAGACTCACCAGTTGACGTGTATTGGACGCTTGGCATGATTTGTTTACTTTTGAACTTTGGTAAAAATCGAACATTTCTGCTACTTTGAGCTCAATTTCAAGGTACTTTTCATTGTAAAACCAGTAAAAATCATCTCAATTTCTGTGATATGCATTCCATTCTATAAAATGAGACCAAGAAAACTAGAATACAACAATAAATACCATACGAAAATACAGTGCAAAGACGCTGTTTTATGCCAAAAAAAACGTGAAAGTTTTTTTTTTCTCATTATGCACTGTGTGCTGCAGGATTTTTTTTATACTGTGCACACTGACCACATAGACCCATTCTTTCATATGGAGGCCTACCAGCCTCTTCCCGCGAGATTTGACGGCGCTAGAATTTATGCGTACTAGTACGTCAAAAACCCCTACGCGTAAGACGTACTAGTACGACCAAAACCCTCAAAGGGTTAATCATAACTGGAGACAGAATTTTTGTTCTACAGTCTTCTCCCAGTGGGCATGCCTATGACATACCTCGAACTGGTAAAGACTATGCAATACAGTGGACCCCCGCATAACAATTACCTCCGAATGCGACCAATTATGTAAGTGTATTTATGTAAGTGCGTTTGTACGTGTATGTTTGGGGGTCTGAAATGGACTAATCTACTTCACAATATTCCTTATGGGAATAAATTCGGTCAGTACTGGCACCTGAACATACTTATGGAGTGAAAAAATATCGTTAACCGGGGTCCACTGTATACCCTCGCACATCCTTACCCACCCATACAGGTTTAGTGCATAAAATTAATATATTAATGTACTATTCTCCATGTGGAAGTGGAACAGAATTCTTCCTCCGTAAGCCATGCATGTTGTAAGAGGCGACTAAAATGCCAGGAGCAAGGGGCTAGTAACCACTTCTCCTGTATACATTACTAAATTTAAAAGGAGAAGCTTTTGTTTTTCTTTTTTGGCAATCCTGCTTTGGTGGGATATGGCTGATCTATTGAAAGAAGGAAGAAGAATGCACTATATATGTTCTGTACTGTGTTATGAAGGTCCTATTCTTAGGATCAGCATTTTGATATTGTTTGATACAAGTATTTCTTTTTAGGCATATCTTAAAAAGAGGGATACAGAGGCACTAAACAACTTTACTGAATGTCTTCGACTGGCACCGGTAGATTCATCTCTTCTGCCTTTGGCTTATGCAAATCGCTCTGCTGTACTTTTCCAGATGGGGAGATATAAGGTATGTTATGCTGCAGCAAAAAAAACTGCACCCCCAAGTTGTTTAAATTAACTCTTTCATAGTACAGATATTAGGATTTAAACTGTTGCTTGTCTTCTGATATTAAATATAGAAAAATAAAAATCAGTGCTGTAGTACAGGTAGCTCTTTCTAATAGAGAGAGAGAGGTTTCATCAAAATTGTTGTGAGGTGAATTGTGCATAGTACGAGAGAAACTTTGAAGAATATACCAATATATTTATCCAACTACCACCAAATTGTTAAATTGTTAATAGCAGCACCAGTCTTGAATTAGCAGCATGTGTACAAAAGAACAACATTGTATAATAAATAGTGGAAATAAGATGATTATTAATTAGAGGAAGGATCCCAGTAATGGTTGGCTGCTGGCATGTTTTAAGGCAATAGGTAGTGGTCTTTTCATTCCTATAATTCTTTCTTACAGGTTACTGCTTTCCATTGAATATAATATCTGTAATCCTTATTAATGTCATGATAATGATTTCACAGAGAATTTCATGTTAATGTTAGTTGAGTAACATTTAACAAAATAGGGCCAAGTTAACATTAGAAGTGGCTCTCATGGCTCTAAATAAAGAAAACTTGCCGTACAATTTTTTTTAAAATGTGCTCACTAGATTTCCTGAATCACATACACCTTGTTTTATCAATTTCAGTATTAAAAAGAATAAAAAATAAAGAATATTGATTTTATTTCTTTGTAAACGTTATAATGTGTAATTACAATTTGGGTTTAAGTACAAAGAAAGCCGCTATCAAGCTGAGGCATTTCGGGCAGACTAATCCTAGTACGTGTACATAATAACTACATAAATCTAGACAAGATAAGAGTGGTTAACTTCTTAATAAATCTCTATTGAATCTTAATACTAATGCAAGGTAAACAAGGTGGAGGTTTATAAGAATAATAATCTTGAAGTTGCACATAATAAGAACAGTATTACAGTTAATCATTCAAACAATAATATTTCATGGACTGGCACATGTTTAATAGACTAAAGGTCATATATTATAATAATTGGGAGAGTTGCTTCAAAGTGATTAGAAGTTGTTTTGGTTGGTTTGGTTAGTAGTGAGAGATGAGATGTTTTTAAGCATAGTTCTAAATTTATATGTAGTCAGGGAATCCTTTACTGGTTCAGGTAGTGAATTCCAGATCTTCGGGCCCTTTATGCACATTGAATTTTTGCATGGTGTGAGAATAACACGAGGAATGTTGAAGAGTGCCTTGTGTTGTGATTGTGTGTTCTGTTGTAGCTATCAAGAAGTTTAAATGGAGGGTTTGTATTGGAGTTTAATGTTTGGTATATGTAGTAGGCACAATAATGAGTGTATGTTTCATATATTTAGTAGGTTCAGGCTATTGAAAAGTGGTGGGGTGTATTGTCTGGCACAGGAGCTGGTAATCATCTGCACATAAGCTATTTGTTGAGTAATTAAAGGTTTAAGGTGGTTAGCTGTGGTTTATCCCCAGCCACGAATACCATAGGTGAGGTAGGGATGTACTACATCAAGGAGTGGTATAGGGTAAGGAGTGTCGTTTGGGGTACGCAGTATCATATCTTGGAAAGGATGCCTACTGATTTGGAAATTTTCTTTGATATATGCTGGATGTGGGAATGAAATTTAAGATTACAGTCAAGAAGGCCTAGAAATTTACCCTCAGTGTCTTTTGTATTAACTTGGATATTTAAGGTTCTGTTTCCAAACAGCATGAAGTATGTTTTGTGTATGTTGAGAGTGAGTTTGTTGGTCATCCCAGTACAACCTCTCCTCACTTAATGATGGAGTTCCGTTCCTAAGGCCACATCAGTAAATGAATTCGTCTCTAAGTGGGGAGCATACTATAATGGTAGTGGGTTTGTGTCAACCATCTTTGATATTGTTTTAATGTCACCTTTGCACCATTTATAACAGTTCTGATTTGTTTTTAAATGTTTATACAGTAGTGTACTGTGTATTCTTATAAACAGAATAGAGGAAATCAACTCTAAATATACATTATTTAGGTATGCATACTGGTTAGAGAGCCCGTCATGAGTCAGAGTCGTCGGTAAATGAGTACATTGCTAAGTGAGGAGAGGCTGTATATATTTTTAGCATCTCGTTGTTTACAATGTCTCTGAGTATAGCTGGGTTTGAGTGGGACTAGACATAAGTATTGTCATCTGCAAATAGAACTGGTTTAAGGACACATGACCATAACACAAGACACAGATCTCTTTTTGATGTACCCCGTGTCCATATCACACTAAAAACTCTATACACATAAAGGGCCCCAAAATATGGAATTCATTGCCAGAAGATACTAAAGTAACCCAGTCTGAAAATCAATTTAAGACTCTTCTCAAAAGCCACTTAATCACCCTAGACTAAATGCTAAATACTCAGTACTCACATACTCAATATGTATTCCCATATCATAATTTCAACAATTACTTTTGAACCTTTTATCCATTGTCAACAGGAATATAATTGAATCATTGTTTTCACAAAAAGCATTTTTGAATATATGAATATATCTCGTCTTATATAAATTAGATTCACTTATAATTAATAATCTACTGTACAATTATGATATAATTAACCCTTTCAGGGTTTCGGACGTATTAGTACGGCTTATGCACCAGGGTTTTTGACGTACTAGTACACCTAAATTCTAGTGGCCTCAAATCTAGTAAGAGAAAGCTGGTAGGCCTACATATGAAAGAATGGGTCTGTGGTCAGTGTGTGCAGTATAAAAAAAAATCCTGCAGCACACAGTGCGTAATGAGAAAAAAAACTTTGACCATGTTTTTGGATTAAAACAGCGACTTTGCACTGTATTTTCGTATGGTATTTATTGTATTCTAATTTTCCTGGTCTCATTTTATCGAATGGAAGACATATTACAGAAATTGAGATGATTTTGACTGGTTTTACAATGAAAAGTACCTTGAAATTGAGCTCAAAGTAGCAGAAATGTTCGATTTTTACCAAAGTTCAAAAGTAAACAAATCATGCCAAGCGTCCAATACACGTCAACTGGTGAGTCTAATATTCTTTCACAAGTGCGCTGATATTATTTATACCATTTCTACACTAATGCAGTAGTCTGCATAACAGTAAATCTTCTATTTTTTTGTAAAAATAAAAATTCAAGTTGGAAAGCCAAAGAAATATAAGAGGGACCTGGGATGGACTAATGACAGAGAACTTGTTATTTTAGTGCCAGAATGTCTTCTGTTTATAGCTGACCCTATTCCGAAATTGGCATCTTTTGAATATTTTGTGAAATTGGCAAAATTGGAGTTTCTAGCGCAATAGTTATGATTTTTGTCGACTAGTACACTGAATTTGGCTGAAAATAGAACTCAAAGTGGGCAAATTGCCGATGCATATAACATCGTCGAGACGCTAACTTCGGAGAGCTAATTCCGTTAATTTTCATCAAATTTCTTTTTTGGTTGTCATATGGATCCAGTGGAAAGATTCTCATCTTTTCATAAGAAAAAATAATTTTTTTGAAAATTTGGCGACCTAGAACAAGTCTGAGAGGCCTGGCGTCCCTGGAAAGGTTAATATCTGCAAATGTGGGCAACATGATATAATTGCCTTAGTGTAACATAAGAACATAAGAATGTAGGAACACTGCCAGAAGCCTACTGGCCCTACGAGGGGTCCTTATCAAAACGACATCTACCTTAAAGCTAACAAAAATAACTCCTGTACCCCTAACACCAATCTAAACCTGCCCCTCCCAACTCATATATAAGAACATAAGAGAGCCAATAATGTTAAGTCGGCCCATAATAGAGGCTCTTTGCATTGCAACCCATTATTGTAAACACACAATCTCAATGTACTATTTGCAAAGACATTAAATAAATACATAAATAAAATTAATTAATTAATTAATTAGTTTAAATAAATAAATAAATAAATAAAGGAGTTTAGATGCATTGGGGAGATCATTGATGTAGATGAGAAAGAGGAGTGGGCCTAGGACACTACCCTGGGGCACTCCGAGAGCTACAGGCTGGATAGTGGAGTTGACTCTATTTGCGTATACATGTACATACTGATGTCTATTGTTGAGAAACAATTTTAGGTAATTGGGGGAATGTCCTCTGATGCTGTAATGACTTAATTTTAGGTGCAGGAGATTGTGGTCCACTGTATCAAATGTTTACCATAGGTCAATGAAGAACCCCAGTAGATATTCGTTTTTATCGAGGGCTATATATACAAGCATTTGTATAATAGCATCATTTATACTTTTTTTGGTCTAAACCCAAACTGGCAGGGGTTAAGTATGTTGTTGGATATAAGGTAGGAGTAAAGTCATTTGTGTATTATATTTTTGAATATTTTAGGAAGTAAGGGCATGTTTGATATAGGTCTGTAACTGTTCACATAAGTTGGATCACCTTCTTTGAGGATCGGGGTAACCCTTGCTGTCTTAAGTATGGATGGGAAGGTTGAAGAGTCTTAACAGATTTGTTAAAGAGTGTTGCAGTAATGGGTGACAGCACATGAGCTGCTATTTTATATATGAATGGTGGCAAGTTATTTGATCTCCTGCTCTGTTTTTTAATGATGAATGAGACTTCAGTAGAATTAGTTGGAGTTAGAGTATTTGGGAAGTTACCAGTGAGGTGGTCTTTCAGCTAGGAATTTTGCTTGCTAGTTTTGATCCTACAGTAGAGAGTAAGACATTAAGTTTGTTGGCTGTGTCTATAGGCTGTATGTGAGGTTCATCTGGTTTAGTTAAGTTTATCTTTCTGTTTCTAGACAGTTTTCTAGAGCCCAAAATTTTGGAGAGGGTTTGCCAGGTCCTTTTCATATCACCTTTTATTTCAATAAATCTATTTTCATAGTACATTTGCTTTGATTTTCATATATTTTAATGCTATTGAATGTTGTTTAATGTGTGTAATTTTAAACCTGGTACTCATAGTAAAGAAACAATACTATTCATTGAATGTTTTTAAAAATGTACTCCATAGATTTACAAGACTCCATGAGCTTTTTTGGCAATTTCTCATAATATTCTAATAAGCAATATTAATAGAGGAAGAGAGAGGGAGAGGCAGGAACAATATTGGAAGGAGGGAGAGAAAGCTGAAGGAGAAACAGGTGGAAGAGGAGAAGCAGCACAGTACCTAAGAGGACACAGCCTCAAATTATTTACTGCATTAAATCTTGTCAGTAAAATTTTTTTTTATCAAACAAGAGAAAACAGAAATAAAGTAAAGTTCAGTGTTAATATAATTTGTTTAACACACTGAGCTTTGCTCATCACCTGCAGGAAGCTCTTCAGGACATGGATCGAGCAGAACAAAGTGGATACCCTGCAGCTCTGCAACATAAGTTGTTGACTCGCCGCTGTCATTGCTATTTAATTCTAGGAGAACAAGATCAAGCTAAAGCAAGTTTAGAAATTTGTAAGAAACATTCTGAGGCTGTTTCTCCAGACTCCAAAGGTAATTAATATGTACATATATGCTGTATACATACTGTATTTTGCAGCTTATAAGACACGACTCATAAGACTTGTTTTAGTGTAGTTTCAGTGGCTCAGCATCGAACGTAACTGGGAGAGCTACAGCCCACCCCACACCCCAAACTTATAAATCCTGTCACTGACCTTCGGTTTATAGGATGCAGAGTGGTTTTTGGAGACATTTTATGGAATAAAAAATGCATCTAATACGCCACGAAATAAGATTTTTTTTTTTTCCCCCTCTAACGAATCGGCCATATCCCACCGAGGTAGGGTGACCTAAAAAAAAAAAAAAGATTTTCTTTTTAAATTTAGTAATTTATATAGGAGAAGGGGTTACTAGCCCCACATTATACATATGCGTGTAACAAAAAAATATTTTAAAGTTTTTAATTTTTTAATTATCTAATAATTATTTTGGGGGAAAGCAGGTTTATGATATGGAAATTTTATGATCAGTTCTTTTAAAAAGCAGTGCAAAAGCTTAATATGAGCAATTTAATATTTTCATGGAGAAATATCACTTGTTTGAAAGTGACTTTTTTAGAAATAAATGCATGGCATTGTTGAAGCAGGTCTTAATACCCAGGCAGACTGGAATAGATTAAGACGTGTCATTAAATTGGGGCAGGTTGTTGTTCAGATTTATTCTCTAATGTACATATTTATTGATGTTAAACAACTTTGTATTTAACAAAATCTTGTTTAGCACAAATCTTGTATAAGGAAAATTACCAACAGCTCTCTAATTATCTTACGGAGAACTTTATGTATTCTTGCAAACTCTTCCTAAGCATCCAGGCTGTGGTGTTTACAAAAAAACTTGCTCCACAAATAGCCTGACCAAACAGATAAACATGATGCCTGGTCAGAGACCAGTGGGGATCTATAGTAGTCTGTTATCAATCATATAGTATGTATGATTAGATCTATGGGAAGATCTTTCCTCAGTTTACTTATAGTAATAATAATAATAACAGGACATATTGATATTTCAGAAAAATATGCAAAGACAGTAGCTGACCTAGAAAAAATACTGGCAAATGCTGCTGTCAGTCAGATGATGAATACTAGTCAAGAAGTATTTTGTCATCCATCATTGTTTAAGGGAGAAAACACAGTTGTCAGGTACATGACAAGTGCATTTGAAATGAGGTAAGATATATAATCTTCTTTCAACAAACTGGCCAAATCCCACTGAAGCAGGGTAGCCCAAAAAGAAAAACAAAAGGTTCTTTTTTTAACTTCAGTAATGTATACAGGAGAAGGGGTTACTAGCCTCTTGCTCCCGGCATTTTAGTCACCTCTTACGACATGCATAGCGTTTGGGGGAAGAATTCTGCTCAATTCCCCTGGGAAAAAAGGAAATAAACAAGAACAAGAAAGTAAGAAAAAGAAAAAAAACCAAAAGGGGTGGTTTATACATGCTTGTACATCTGTGTAGTGTGACGGAAGTGAAAGAGAAGTGCAAGACACCCCTGAAAGCTTGCATGTATCGAACAGAAAAGCAGCAATCCTACCATCATGAAAAACAATTGCATTTTTCGTTTTCACCTTTTGGGCAGGTATAGTACCCCCTGGGCTTTTGCGTTCCCAAACCACTCCCCAAAGAAGATAAAAATTTTTTTTTTTTTTTTCATTATCACAGGCCGTTTCCCACAGGCGGGTGGCCCGAAAAAGAAAAACTTTCCCTCATTCCTCCATCACTGTTTTTTCCAAAAGGGTGTTTACACACATTTTTTAAACTGCAACATTAACCCCCCCCTCCTTCAAGTGCAGGCACTGACTTCCCATCTCCAGGACTCAACCCCAGCCTGCCGGGTTTCCCTGAACCCCTTCATAACTGTTACTTTTGCTCACCTCCACCATGTCAAGCTTTAAAAAACCCTTTTTGTCCCCATTCACTCCTATCAAAACGCTCACGCTCCTGCGGGGAAGGTCCAAGCCCCTCGCACCAAAACCTCCTTCACCCCCCCCCCAACCTTTTCTGGGCCGACCCCCCCCCCGTTTCCTTCCACTACAGACTGATACACCTTAAGTCACCTGTTTGCTCCATTCCCCTTACTTCCAAACCCACCTCAACCCCCTTCCTCCCCTCACAACGTTTGGAAACCCCGCACCTCCCCTAATTTTCCAACTACGAATTCTCTGTTTATTTTACACCACCATTGCCCTCAACATAATCTCCACTGCCCCACCCCCCTGGGAAACATTCATCACCCATGCTTCACCCCCTTTAAAGAGCGTTGGAAAAACTATACTCTATACATTCCCTCTTTGCCCCCAAGGGACAAATTTCTTTGTCTCCACAACTCCAAGTGAACCACTCACCCTTTTGGGCCCCCCTCAATTCTATGTTTCCCCTCATCTTTCATAGCCCCCATCCGCTGACACGTCCACTCCCAAATATCTAAATACATTCACCCCCTTCTCCCCCCTCCAACTATATCCAATCTTTCATCACCTAATCCTTTTTTATCCCAAAACCTTACTTTTTCCGTATTCATTTAAATTTTTTCCCTTTTGTACACCCTACCAAATTCCCACCAACTCTAACTTCTCTTCGAATCTCCAAAGCACAGTGTATCATAAAAGCAAATGTGACAACTCCCCCTTTGTGTGATTTTTATCTTTTAATCCAGCCCTTGCCAAGACCCCCGCATTTTCTTCTCTTTAAAACCCCCTCTAAAATATATTTAAAAAACCACGGGACACAACATCCTTGTCTAAGGCCTACTTTTATGGGAAATAATTTCCCCCTTCCACAAAATCTAACTTGAGCCTCACTACCTGTAAAAACTCTTTACTGCTTTTAGTAACCTACCTCCACACCAACACCTGCAACATCGCCACATTCCCCCTATCCAAACCCCGTCTACACCTTTTCCAAATCCATAAATGCCACAAAAACCTCTTTACCTTACTAAATATGTTTACTTATATGTTTTTTACTGTAAACACCCGGTCCACACACCCCCTACCCTTCTAAAGCCTCCTTGTTCATCTGCTATCCTATTCTCTGCTTCTCTTAATTCTTTCAATAATAACTTACCCTACACTTTACCCGGTAAACTCAACAGACTCTCCCCCTATAATTTTTGCACTCTTTTTTCCCCTTTGCCCTTTTTCAAAGGAAAATATGCATGCTTCTGCCAAACCCTGGTACCCTTACCCTCTTCCAACATTTATAAATAATTGCACCAAACCCCTCCAAAACTATATCCCCACCTGCTTTTTAAAAAATTTCTATCTTTTTCCCCTCAATCCCGGCTGCCTTTCCCCCCCTTTTTTTTTTACCCATCCTCACGAACTTTCCCCCCACTCACAAATGGGTCTTCCTCACTCCTAAAATGTTATTCCTCCCTTTCCCAAAACACAAATCACAGCTTCCCTATCTTCACAAAATTTAAAAATTCCCCAAAATATTCCCCCCATCTTCCCAATACCCCCCAACCCCCATTTTAATAACTCCCTCTCCCTTTTTTAATGACAAATCCATTTGTTCTCTAGGCTTCCTTAACTTGTTAATCTCACCCAAAACTTTTTCTTTTTTCAACAAAAAATTTTTGATAAAATCTCACCCACTCTTCATTTCTCCTTTTTACATTTCTTCACCACTCTCTTTAACCCCCCTCTTTTTTCTCCCTGTATTTTCCCTCCTTGCATCACTTTTACTTTGTAAAAAACCTTCTCATATGCTAACTTTTTCTCCCTTAACTACTCTCTGTACATCATCATTCCACCAAAACTCTCCTCTTCCCTCGCCGCACTCACTTCCTGTAACCACAAACTTTTGCTGAACACTCTAACACTACCGTTTTAAACCTACCCCATACATCTTCGACACCATTGCCTATGCTCTCATTTGCCATCTATCCTCCCAATAGCTGTTTATATCTTACCCTAACTGCCTCTTTTAGTTTATAAACCTTCACCTCTCTCTTTCCTGATGCTTCTAATCTCCTTTAATTCTCATTACTACCTTTTACCTCTCAGTGTAGCTCAACTATAAAGGTGATCTGATATATCTGTGGCCCCTCTATAAACATGTACATCCTGAAGTCTACTCAACAGTCTTTTAATCTACCAATACATAATCCAACAAATACTGTTCATTTTGCCAACAACATATCTTGTATACTTATTTATCCTCTTTTTCATAAATATGTTATTACCTAAAACTAAACCCCTATCTATACAAATTCAATCAAAAAGGCTCCATTATCATTTACACCTGGCACCCCAACTTAACCTACCACACCCACTCTAAAAGTTTCTCCTACTTTAGCGCATTCAGGTCCCCTACCACAATTAACTCCTCTCACTTGGTTCAAAGGCTCCTATACATTCACTTCACATCTCCAAAATCCTCTCTCACTTCCTCTACATTCCTCTCTTCTCCAGTGCTACACGCATGATTATGAACCACTTTTCGCATCCAACCTTTACTTTAATCCACATAATTCTTGGAGCTTACACATTCTATTCTCTTTTCTCCTTCCATAACTGATCTATCAACATTATTCTCTTTTCTCTCCTTCCCTTACTGATCCTCAGCATTACTGCTACCCCTCCTTTGCTCTAACTCTCCTCAGATACACCAGAATTTAATCCCATTTATTTCCCCCCACCGAAACTCCCTACCCCCTTCACTTTGTTTCGCTTAGTGGCCACGACATCCAACTCTTTCATTCATAACATCAGCAATTCATCTGTTTCTTGTCCACCGCACTACAACCAACGCACATTCAAGCATCCCAGTTTTATAAAGTTTCTTCTTCTCTTTTTTAGTAAATGTCTACAGGAGAAGGGGTTACTAGCCCATTGCTCCCGGCACTTTAGTCGCCTCGTACGACACGCATGGCTTACGGTGGAAAGATTCTTTTCCACTTCCCCATGGACAATAGAAGAAATAAAGAAGAACAAGAGCTATTTAGAAAAAGAAAAACCTAGATGTATTTATAATATATTAATCTGCATGTGCGTGTCTGTGAAGTGTGACCAAAGTGTAAGTAGGAGTAGCAAGATATCCCTGTTATCTAATTATTAAATTAAGATGCAGTTGGGTCATTTGAATTCCTCGTACAAATGCCATTGCGGAATCTTTGAGTAAAAATCCATGTGTAATGGAAAAAAAAATGATTCATGTTATGAATACAGTAAGTTAACCACCATTATGTGCTGGCCTGTTTGCTAATGGATGAAAGGTTGATGTGCATGGTTATACAGGAGCAACTCCTGTGTGTGATCTTTCTATTGTGGCAGCTGGAATTAAATTAAAAAGTTGGTGGAATGCAAGAACAGAATTGGCTCCTAAAAGGCATGCCAGAGGGTACTAAAATATTTTTCATATAAAACTTTATCAACATCATACTTTAAGTTTTACTCTTAACAATGGCTTTTGCAAGTCACTATTAGAATAACATGACACTTGCAAATGCCAATAGTTGAAAAAAGGCTTCCTGTTAGAGTAAATCAACACTGATAATTTGAAGCTAATCAGATGTGGTGTTTTTAGGCTAGAAATGGAAGCTTGTGGGAGAAAAAAAATCAGGCAACCATTTAAAGGTACCTCCTTTGGGGATACCTAATTAAGTTGTAATGTTTAGTTTAATATACAGTAATTAAGTGCTTTACTGTTTGTGGGAGTTTCACTGGTCATAATATCTCAATGCTTTACCTGATTATTACCTGGGGTAGTCTACCAGTGTACATCAATTTCATGTTTAATTCTTACCTGGGGTAGTCTACCAGTGTACATCAATTTCATGTTTAATTCTTCACCTAATATTTGGTCTTGAATTTATCTTGGCGACTTTTCTCTTGGAAACTCTGCTCACACTGATGTGTATCATGGTTCAGCCTTATGTAGTATGCTGTTACTTTTTGAGAGAATTTTTCTCTGCTGTTGCAGTCCACCCAACAATCAGTTAGGCATGGACAAATACTTGCTTACTCTCTTAGTTGACACACACACAACCACACCACACACACACACATCACACACACAACACACACACACACACACACACACACACACACACACAACACACACACACACACAACACACACACACACACACACAACACACACACACACACACACACACACACACACACAACACACACACACACACAACACAGCACAACACACACACACACACACACACACACACT